AGCTGGTTTTACTCATTGCTTGTTCTCCTGTTGAAAGGAAGGTCATTTAAGCAAGTAGTGTTCCATGCCTCTTTTCCTGTGCAGTGTGTGTGGTTTTTCTGCCTCACCACAGCTTCCAAGTTATTGATTTTTTATGTTGCTCTACACACAATTTTTTCTTCCACTGTGCTTAGTAGCTGTTTAAGGTAAAGCATGAAAAGAAGGCATTGAATCATTGTTCTATGAATAAATCCTATAAACTTCCTAATAGCAGTGATTTATCAGAGCAGATTCTTTTATTCAAGGCCCTCTTAATTATTTTTTAATTTCTTTCTTCTTAGTTCCTTCCTTCTTCATTTCCTTTAAGACTTTGATGGAGGATCAGATCATGCATATTGTCCTGGCAAAATTAATATATTGTGCTATTCTTAAAACCCATCCAGCACAAAACAAGACTTATTTGCAGTTGTTTACTTTCAGCCCAATCGAGCTGCTTGTTCCAGATGAACACAAAGCTTCTAACTATTTACATGGCTCCTTTGTTTGAGTAAAGGCACCTAGAAATTTTACTTACAGCATTAATCAGATTAAGAACTTTAGTGCTGACACAGATCAGGTGTTCCAAGAATCTCAAGGATCTGTGTGCTTGGATAGCACACACTTCAAATGCAATTTCTGTCCCTGACTCATCTGGGCTTCTCTCAGAAGTCAAGTGAGATAGAATGAGATAAATGCTTAAATACCTTCGAATTAAATAAGAGGTTTTGGATACTGGACACAAGAGGTGAGTTCCAGTCAGGGTGCCTCACAGCACTATAATCATTTGCAGCAGGGTTGGATGTGAGTTACAACACTGGCATCCTGATGTACTAACACTGTGCAACACAAACTTCAGCCAGATATGCTAGACAAGGATAAATGAGGCTTCATCTTATCAGAAATTGGATATATCATAGCTCCTTTTGCAATGCATTCAGGGAAAAGCAGCACTGGGTTAAATATCAATATTATTGTGGCATATTTATGTGGCTCTTACAGAGATAAAACACTTAAGCAGCTACTTGCTGCATTTTATTCTGTGACAAGGACTTACTTACATCTCACCACATTGAAAAGACACACAAAGATATCCAAAAATAATACAGCTCACTTAAGCCTCTGATGTTTCAGCCATCAAGTAAGAGATGAATTGTTAATGAAATTGGATGGGAGACAGGAAATGAAAGTGAACAACACCAAAGGGAATTAGCTTTTTTTTTTTTTTTTTTTTTTTTTTTTTTTTTTTTACCTTTGCTTCAGGTCTGAGGTCTAGCAAGATGACATTTTGGAATCATCTAGGAACTATCCAATTTAAACATAAGTGAAAATCAGAAAGCTTCAGCTCAGTGGTCCAAAGAGGAGTGTTGGATTACATCCTCTCACAAAGGATGACTTCAGTAAGAGGACAGCGTGAGGTGATTAATCTTCCCTGGGCTTTCAGCTTTACAAGTCTACCAGCTCTTTGGTTTTTAACTTGGACTGTAGTGAACATGTATATATCTTACAAGGAAAAATAAAAACAACCTAAAACCATAAGTATTTTTAAGTATTCTCACACAGCCAAGCTGTGCAAAGCAGCTTTCAACAAGAAGATCCCATGCTGCTTTCCCCCAGATATTTCTGCAGTAAGGTGGAGTTTTCTAGTGAAGCATCATCTTGGGTATGGTTTTGCTGCTGAAGATGAAAAGTGTTCTGTGAAGGAGTCAAGGAATTTCATGAGGAATGATCTTCCTTAAGGCAATTGAATTTTACTTTGTGTCTATGTGAGTACAAGCCAGGCTTCACAGGTCCTTTTTTCCCCTTTGCATTTCTTACCCACAGGGTGTCTGTGATGGAGACCCTGGGAGCTACTTCACCCACACCTGCAGCAGTGATGAGTACCTGTGCTCATTCAAACCTGTATTACAGGATTATGTAACAGCAGGAAGTTTGGGAAATCAAGTTCTAGATGGACAAAATAAGTGGGACAAAATCTGTTTGTCTCCTGTTTCTCTCTGTTCTGTAATTCCATCCTTTTATCAAAGGGATGAAATACTCTTAGTGGAGAGATGAACACTTCTGTGCTCCATGGAGACAGCATGATAGCTCAGCCTCCAGTTACTTCCCCACTCCCTGCCTGCCTCCAAAGGCAGATGGGAGCACTGCCCCAGAGAGGGTAACCAGATCACAACTATTCACTTCTTAGCAGCTTGGTTCTGTGCCTCTCTTGCAATTGCTGGGAGCTGCAGAAAATTTTGCTCAGCTGAGGCTGGAGTTTCTGCTGAGCATGTGAAAAGTGGTTTCTATGTATTTATTTTTAAATGAAGGTTCATAAGATTATCACCTTCATGGAAGGTGACAGCAAGGTCCATACTTATTTTTGGTTCCTAATGCTTGTAAAGTTATAATTTATATTTGGCTTGACATTTTAAGACATGCAGGTGCTTTGTCTTTATTTTACTCGTCTAGTTTGTTTTTTTTGTTTTCATTTCTTGTGGATATTTGCAGTTTTCATACCCTGTTGCTCCCTGCCATCACTATGGCTACCTTCTCTCTGCAAATCTGTTTTCCAAAGCTTATTGCCACTATGTACCATCTCATGGTACCTATGCAAGTCCTTTGCATAAAAAGTGATCAGAGATATTATTCACTTGAACTAACACATTCTAGAACACATTTGTCCCTTTGTGGGTTTTACCTGAACCTTCTGAACTGTAGAATACTATTGACAAATTATAGGGAAAAGAGTGTTTGGAAAGGATGTTTGAGCTGTTCATCAAACAGCTCCTGCAAAACACCTTTGAGTGTCACTGACTGGGAAAATGATGGTATCAGAACAGACAGGTTACTTTGCTGAAGTGTCATGCTTAAAAGAGGGAGCTCAGCATGGGGCCTTTTAGATTCAATACTACACTTATTATGGTAGGAGATCAAGGATGCAGGTTAGACAGAAATAATCTCTTTTTCCTGCTTTTGCATTTATAAAAGAATAAAATGTAGTATAATTATTTTAGTAACCAGACACAAGCTATTCTATCCTGTAGTTGTACAGAGTAGCAGCAATTCCTGAATTCACTGTGGATTATATCTTGGTATGTTACATATTGATTTGGGAAATGATTCCTGTGCTGCTTCTCAAGAACCAGGAGAACACAGCCTCCCCTGGGGCTGGCTGTGCACTGGGGTCATCCCTGGCCTGTTGATGGGATGCTCTGGGAGGTGTTGGCCATTTTCAGCACAGGAAGCAGTGTTACTCATGAGTAGGTGTAGATCACTTTGTATCTTACAAATCAGTGTTTGGAACATACTGATGTTCCAAACAGAACCAGTGTCCTACTGTGTACACAGTAAACTCAGAGCAGTGCCGGAAATGTCTAAAGCAGTTGTGAGAAAAATGTTTTTGTACTTCTGAATCTTTTGCCTCACAGCTCTGTTCCCTAAGGTGAACTGTGAAGAAAGAAGATAGTAGAGAAAGGAAGAATTTGATCTTACCAAAAAGACAGTGTTACACACCACTACAATTGTTAGTTCTATGTCTGTTGTTCTTACTACAGTCATTCTAGTCAAGCATAATACAATGTGTCATTAAAAGAATCCTCATTAACAAGTCCTTGCTAATTTCTAAAAGGCTTTATCATAACCTTGAGCAATTTTTTTTCTATCTTGCTCTGCTTAGGAACAGATTCCTGTTTATCATCCCCTGTGCTTCCACCTGCATGACATTTGCTTTGCATCCCACAGTTTGCACATATGAGAGGCAGAATTTGCCCCTTCACAGGAATCCCTCCTCTCGTGCTTTGTAAGTGGAATTACACTCAGAAAACATCACCTGAGTCAGAGCAAAGTAGTCATGTACTTTGGTGTCCTTGTCAAATTACTAATTGCAAGGTTTTAAAGTTTGAAATTGAGAGTTGCTTAACAGAAGGTGACCTCCCTGTTAGCAATACCTGAATACTGATGAGCTTATTCACTTCCCCTCTAAGGCAAGTGTAGAAAGGGGAAGAGAGGGTGTACAGGAAAAAGAGGGAATAGGTTTCACTATTAAAAATAAATGGGAACAGGTTATTTTGGGGTTTTAAACAACTGCAATGTTGTTATTATGCAGAGTATGCCATTCAAAATACCCTCTAAAATCTGCAGAAACTATTAATCCTGAATAACAATCAAACCAGAATTTTTAGATGTTTAAATAATAGACCAACCCTTGCCAGCTATCCACATTAAAGAATTCAGTAGACTTACATGACATCGACATTGTTTACACAGGCTTTCCTGTTTGGGGGCCTTATCTTATTATTGTACTCACCGTGTAAATTGAGAAATTCTCTGTGTCAGGGCTTATGTGCATGGAAATTACTTCTGCACTGTGCTGCCTGCCCTCACTAAGCACTTGGGACAGTGTGATTCCTTTGAGCAGTAGTTGTAGGCACATTTCCTGAAATGGGAGTAGGGAGGGTCAGGAAGAACTCCAGTTCCTCCATCCACCCAGCTGCTCTCTGGCCAGCACATCAGGGCTGGAGCTGCCACTGTCTAATTTGCCACGTTTATAGGCCCAAACAGGAAATGTGAGAAACCAGCACTGAGGTGTGCCTTTCATCCACTGCTTCTGGTGGTGATGGCAGCATCTGCCTTAGCTGCTGTCCAGCACTCAGAAGCCTAAATAGTACTTTAGAAATAACTCTGATGTCCTTGGGAAAACTCCTGGTGTGAGATCACTGACCTGGGCCTGGGCAGGGAGGGAGCAAGCTGCAGGTGAAGGGATCTGCATGACTCACTTCAGCTGTAGAGAAATGACTGTATACGAAATGAAGGCTTATAATGAGTATATTTGGATCAGGAATGTTAATAATTAAAGTCTCCAATGTATTTTCTAGAGCATAGCTTTGCAATTCATGCTGCAAGGATGGGCTGCAATGATAGCATCTCATCATAAGAATGTTAACAAACTAAAAGTTTATGCAGATGCCTCTCATACAGTGTTTGTACCTTACCCTTGAGTGCTCATGTTCACAGATGGCTTAAAAAGTATGATTGGTTTGATTCTGAAAGTACAGCTATGGAATTCTTCAAAGGTAAAAATGCTGTTTAGAGATATATCAACATTATTTCTCAGGGGTTCATGTTTGCTATTAGTATTTCACTTCATCCCAGTATGTGCCAGAGGGGGATAGAGATATTAATGCAGGTGTTAATACTTTTAACACATCTCTCTCTCATTTCCTTCATGGCAGCTTGTACAGAAATTAATTTCATCAGTCCATAAAATGAAAAGGAAAACAGTGCTTTTTGGATAAGAATCAATTTAGAGATAAATAAATTTGTCAACCAGAAGCTTCCTGTAGTGATTAGTCACTTTCTATAATGCATGAGAATTAAATGATAATCACTTTGTGATTACTTATATTGATTCACTGAAAGCTGCTTTGCTCTTTTGGTGTTTGAGTAAATTGACCACATTTCACCATTTGTGAAAAACTGGTTTCTTAGAATTACCAAGTGATGCATAAAAATTCCTTAGACTTGGTTTTGTGCCAAATGCCACTGCTGGTGAAACCACTGGGGAACATGTGCAAGGGCAGGTTTCACATGTGAAGAGTCAAGATGTCCTTAGCAGGCAGAGCTCAACACCAGGGCTATTATATATTGCCTGATCATATTCAGTTTCAAAACACACTTCCTTGTCAGAGGAAACTTTATTGGAGAGTGTCCCAGGCATGGAAATGATACTTTAGAAGATCTGCTGTGCGTCTGATAGTACAGCCATTTCTTACAGGATTTTTCCCACTAAAAATATTGCCGTGCTGAATTTTTACCACGGCTTAATGTGTTTCATAGAAAATAGCCGATTTTAAGATATTTAGCTGTTATGTTGGCGACCTCACCAACATAATTAACACTTGTGCCAGCACTGTGGCAGACCCCCAAAATTTTTGGTATGTGCTTTGGCATATTGCTAAGCTAAAAATGGATTTGATCCTCAGTGGTGGTGGTAGGTGGAGAAGGCTGACATTGACCCTGCGACTCCAGCAGAGTGACTAAGGAGCAGCGCTGCACAGGGTATTGCCACTTCAGCCAAGGTTTGGGTTTAACCCTTCCTGTGACACTCCCAGCTCATCACACTGAATCCAGCAGTGGTTTAGTCCAGGAGCTGAACAACAGGCTGCTCCAAGGCCCATACATCCGGGGTGGAGGGGACAGCTGAGCTGTGCGACCAGTTTGGCCAAGGTCTGTGATTTCAGTGTCTGCAATTATTCACTGGCAGCAGCCCAGCTTGCTTTTTAGCACCAGAACGTGTGTGCTGTTTGAAAAAGACTTTTCCTCTGTAATTTGTTCTTCTATTGGACTAAACTTAATAAGATTGCTATGTATTCATCTTAGGTAAACCAGGAAATTCATATCAAGTAGCACTTAGTGTATTTGCATTTGAAAGAGGCAAGCATTATGGTAATTAAATGCATGTGCAATAGTGAAATAATTCCTTAGCTTTTTGCATAAAAATTCTCCAAATGAAGAGAAGTGTCACTTGGGGATGCAATGTTCAATACATTTCCAGCAGCTGATCTATGTTAGGAGAGTTGCTGATACCTGTGAGATATACTGCTTATACACAACATTAATTCCAAAATATGCAAACATCAAATATACTGAATAATATTCATGAGCTGATTGCATGTCATGTGCTCAGTAGTAGCTGAACTTGTAGTAACAGTGTTCTTCATTTGATTCAAGCTTTTCCAGCGTGTGCAGGAAGGAAGTGTAAGATCCACACCAAAATAAACTTCACTGTAATAGTTTAGAGGAAGTACACGTGCTTGAATATGTATGCACACACTGTGTAGTACACAATGTACTGCACTTCTGAGTCACACATCTCACTGAACAATAGCATTGAGACAGACCACTGGAGCCATCATTCCTGACAAACTCATGGTGAGTGCACACACAGCATATTTGAGGCCTCAGGTATGAATCTTTACAGAGCAGAAAAGCAGATTATTTTTGATCCCATTCTTTGTGACAAAAAAGCGACAAAAGAGAGCATTTTTGTCTCAGAACTTTTACTTTTTAATAGAAAGAGCAACCAATGCAGTCCTGAGACACTGAAAGAATCAAATTCTAGATTCCCATTAGAGATGCATTAGTTTTCTGTAAATGGGGCTTTTTTCTCAAGTTGTTTTTGGGCTTCTTTAGTAGTCTGATCCCAAAGACAATGATATTTCCAGTACAATTTACTATTAAACTTTCATTTGTATTCAAAGGTGCACCTATCGCTTGCTAAAATAGAAAAACACGCAAACCCAGATGTTTCATTATCATAGTGGTTCCCACATCCAAGTGAGTTCATGTTGACTATTTTCAATATTGGTATACTTGTCATCAGTTTACCTGTGTGTCAAATGTGTAAGACAACATAGTTACAGTCTTTCGATTCTTTTAATCTTCCTGTGAGCTGCTTTATTATGCATCTTTGATAATTTTTCAGTTACCGACTGGGAAGTGTTTTGTGTAGTTAACAGTGAGTTTATTATATACAGGGATACTGGCAATAAATCTATTGTTTCCACTGCAATTAAAGATATAAACCATGAAAAATTGCTGAGCTTCTAATAAAACTAGTTCTTAATGAACCATTAAGTGTCACGGGGAGCTGTTTAGTTCATGTAACTTTTCACACATTGGCGACTCCCTGGCTCTGCAGAGTGCGCACCCGCACAAATGAACAGAGACCAAACAGAGTGTTAACTGATTCACAAATAGCACTGAAGTATTCAGACAGCTTCTCTCAATACTAAACCTTGATTTCCTCATTTCCCAAAGTTATTTCCACCAGAAAGAAATAAGGTTGAGAATGCCACTGACATTCCCTTTCCACGGGAGAAGAGAGTCGGCAGGAACCGCAGGAGCAACGCTGCGCCCTGAGCAGCCCCGCACAGTGCGGGCGCTGGATCCCGCTGCGGGCTGAGCCCCGCACCGCTCCGGCCGGGCCCAGCTCCACAACGCGGGGCCGCGGCGCCCCCGTGCGGGAAAGGGGAAGCGCCGCTCCCGCCCTGGTTCGGGCTCCGGCGATGGCTCCAGACACCGCCCCCGGGCCGCCTCTGCCCGGCCCCGCCGCCTCGCTGGGCCATGGCGGCGGCGCGGCTTTGCCTGTGCTTGTTCCTGTGCCTGCTGCGGCTGCCCCGGGATGCCTTCGCGGCCCGCCCGGCGGCGGCGGGGCCCGGAGCTGGGCGCGGGCCCGGGGGTTCGTTCTGGCGGCGGCGGCTGGGCTGGGGGGAGCGGGAACGGCCGGCGGGAGCTCGGGGCCGAGGGGTTCGGTGCGTCCCCAGGGGCTCAGTGTGTCCTGGGGGGCCCGGTGCGTCCCCGGAGGCTCGATGTGTCCCTAGGTCTCGGTGTGTCCCCACGGTCTCGCTGTGTCCCCGGGGAGGTTGCGGCTTCGAGCGGGTCCTGCGCCCGTCGAGCCCCCAGTGCAGTCCACCGCCTTGAGATGGCGTCCTAAAAAGACGTATGTCATAAATTGAAGAAAAATAGTTTTATCTGTTGGGAACAGAATTTTACAGGACTGCAGTGTTGTTTACCGTGGTTTAACACCCTTCTCAAAGCTTGCAGGCCGTAGAATTCGGTAGTGGTTATACCTATAAAATACCTCTTTATTTTGCACCACCCTGCTTTAGCCAGCTGCAAGGACTTGCTGTCTGCAGCGCCTGGAGAAAACACCATGGGTGCAAACAAGGAAATGGAGAGGGAACAAAAACCACTATATTTTTGTCTAGGCCAAATAAGAATTTCTGTCTTTGTAGAATTAATCCCAGTGTTCACTTACAAATACATTCTTGCTCTTTTTATTTAATTTTATTTTTGTCCTCAAATGTGTTTAAGGGTTAAAAACCAATAAATCAGCATAAAGTAACCGCTCAGGTTAATCTATTTCTAATTCTGTTTCTTCATAGATGGCATGAATGTCTTGTTTATAATTGTGGATGATCTGCGTCCTGTGTTGGGCTGTTATGGAGATAAGCTTGTGAAATCTCCCAACATTGATCAACTTGCCTCCCAAAGTATGGTGTTCAGCAATGCATATGCCCAGGTGAGATAAATGACTTAAACATGTTTTCTCTATGCAAAATAATTACTGGTTTTATCACAGTAGGTGTTAGGCAGGCCACTGGAAAAAGCAAGTATTTATTAACTTGAAGTACTTTCAGCAGAAAATAAATGATTGGGCTGAACTGCAGTGTGTGAACCTATCTTTACTAAGGTGAGAAAAATGAAAACAGGGCATTTAAATTATGGTATTTGTGTAGCCCTTGGAGGAGTAGATTGCCACTCAAGTGTTTTCACTGTTTGCGGCCAAGTGCTGCTTAAAAATGTCATTTTACTAAATTAAAATTCTATTTTTCTGCTTACAAAATATTATGTTTTAATTTTTAATTTTTATAATCTTTTGAGGGAATCACTTCTATAGACTGCTGTAAAGGAGCAGTTTGTGTGGTAAGCATCACTCTAAAATAGAGAACTGAAAACATCACTAATTGCTCTTCCTTGAATACTCTGTATAGGATGTCTGCGTTCCCAAGTTCCTCTCTGCTGAGAAATTAGAACTTTGGGTCTAATTCCAGCCCAAGGCAGTAACTCTTGGTTTTTGTCAGTCTGAAGCAGAATTGACCAGACCTTTGGAGCATAACCCAGACCTCCTGTGTTTATCCTTTCCTTATTCTTAAGGCAGTCCAGATCAACTAGACTTTTGGCTTTTATCAGCACAGTCCACCTGCCACTGCTGCTTAATTCTGTGTGATGTGAGCAACCAGATTTCAAAAGCACTGCCTTTATGGAACTTGACTTGCATTTTTAAAAGCTTGCAGTTTGGAATTGATATGCTTAATAAGGATGCTGTTCATTCCAGCCTGAGGTGATGTGAAACTCATTCCCTGTGATTTCCGAGTTTTCAGATGGTTGTTACACAGCTATTGATGCCTTGAGAGGCTCCCATGGAACAGAGGCTAGGCAGTGTTGAAGGAATAAAGTAGGAATTTATTAAAAGGCATTCAAAGGATACACCTTGGGCAGTACAAGAGCCCAGGTGAGGCTACACTCAAGATGAATGATGGGGCACGAGTTTTCACACTTTTATAAGTTTTGGTCCATTTACATACTGGGGTTAATTGTCCAATTACAGCTTTAGGTTATGAAGTCCCATTCCTCCCAGAGCACTCTCCTCAATTCAGTGTTGTTCATACTTTTTAGGCCTGGAGCTGCAATGATGTCCTTGGTTCTCAGGCTGTAAAAGGATTGTTTTGTCTGACTGAACTGTGAAGACAACTTGCTAACACACATGAAGTTCAGAGTTACATACTAATGCAGTACAGAATGTGGAAAATATGAAAGCTAAAACTTAAGGCATCACTATGCTTGAGTCAGTTCATGCATGTGTTTTGATTTTTGTTCCAAATGTCTCTCCTTGGCTGCCTTTCTCCGCAGCAAGCCCTGTGTGCTCCCAGCAGAGTGTCATTCCTCACTGGCCGCAGGCCTGACACCACCCGGCTCTACGACTTCTACTCCTACTGGAGAGTCCATGCAGGAAACTATTCCACCATGCCCCAGTATTTCAAGGAAAATGGCTACGTGACCCTGTCTGTGGGGAAAGTTTTTCATCCTGGTATGGTTTGAATTGTCACTTGCTTAATGTAGAAGTGCTTGATGTGTATAGTCTCACAAACTTACATGAGTACTGATGTGTGATTCTCGTCTATGTTGAGAACCTAAGCCAGTTTTTACAGTGGTTATCATTAAGTCTTAGGGCATCAGAGATGAATGCATTAGATGGCTTTTATCTAATGGATGTTTTCACATCTTCTCTGGGAATTGTGGGAATAAATATCTAACATTCTAAAAATACATCTGGAGGTTAGGTATCTGCTGAAAATGAAATTACTTGTTGGCTTAGTTCTGCCTGTACGTGCTTCATGTTTCCCAATAGGCTGTAAATCTGGATTAGGACATGTAGAATGTATGACTAATGCTTTAAGTTCAGTAGGAAATTAGTTCACTAGTTAAAAAGCAATAACACTACTGAGCTGAAAAATCTTGTAATACTGATCCTCTTTTTGACAGTTCCTTATCCTAGAAATAAACTTGTGTAGATAGTTTAAGTATGCATTTCAGTTTATAGTAAAGCTAATCAAGGATGTGCATGAAGACTTATTAATCCTGGGTGTTTTATTATTTATTGTGTTTTGTTTTGGTTTGGTTTTTGATTTTTGGGTTTTTTTTGTTGGTGTTCCCTGAAGTAAGGTTCTTCAACAGACTTGACTCTCCCACAATAGTGCAAGGTGTATTTTGGGGAGAAATATCTTTTTGACTTTTATTTCTTGGTTATCTTTTCCTCAGTTGTCAAAGATTCATTTGAAACATTTCTTCATTTAACATATTTAAAAAAAAACAATTGAAGACAAGTTAAACTGTGTCTGAGCTCTTCCTGGTTCAGTGAACTATTAGAACATTTTAATTTCTTTATCTCTTCCAGGGGTTTCATCCAATTACAGTGATGACTATCCCTACAGTTGGTCCATTCCACCCTTTCATCCTTCAGCTGAAAAGCATGAGAATGATAAGGTAAGTGTGATTTGTGGCACTCTAACAGAGAAGGGTGTTCAAGATAGAACCAAGTTCTTTGTATCAAGGACAGGCTGTGCCCTCTGGGCTGCACCCTTGGGCAGGAAAACGAGTAACCACTTCAATGCTTTGTTTCTGTGCTTTCCAAAAGAAGGCCTGGATTATCAGATGTGTGTTTTGTCAAGCAATGTGCAGATGTTTTAAGTATTTCTGAATTGGTATTTAAAAACTTCAGCTATTGAGATATAAGCAAGAATGGTTCATATTTGTGTCTAGTTCATGAATTCCTTTATCTGAAAAGTGTGGTTGTCAACTTGCACCTGCAACTGATCTGGCTTTGCTTTGTCAGTAGTCTTGGTAAAGTTAATGTGATAAAGAACTCAGGACTAAGTGAGAAGGGGCCATAAGTAAAATAACGTTTAAATAACCTGAAACTTTATAATCTGATCCAGTTTTCTAGAATGTTTGTTACTCTTAAATGTGACACAAAAGAGTCTGGTTTATCTTTGTGCAAACATTGCATTAGCATTGTGTGCTGGAGTCTGCACACTGCCCAGCAGGAGCTGCAGTCATGGGGGTACAGCCAGCCTTGGCAGTGCTTTGGTCTTGGGTTTACTGCTGGAAAAGGCTGGTTTTAACAACAGCAGCATTTGCATCCATGATATAAAGAGAAGTAGGTTGATTTAGCAACCCTCCCAAACACCCTGCTGAGGCCACCTTTCCCTGGCCATTGGTTAGTCTCATTTATCTCTCTTCACTGATTACACATCAGCCACTGCTGCCATTTGCTCAGAAACAGAGTCAGTAGCTTCCAGGCAGCTTTCGCTGAACTCTTGGGATCAGAAGGAACTAAAATGTGTGTAAATATAGGAGAACCAAATGCTGCTGCATCTCCATTAGATCAGAGATTCTGTTCATCATGGAAGCTGTGGGCTTTTGCTCCATGTGACTACATTTAATCTTCTACCCAGCTTTAGAGAGGATTTCTGCATTTTCATAGGCATGGAAGTTGCATTCTTTTGCTGGTAGAAACAAATTGATTTTGAAGTTACAGAACAGAGGATTTTGTCTTTGTATTTACCAGAAGTTACTGAACTATTTTTTTTCTTTTACGAAGACTTGCAGGGGAAAAGATGGAAAACTTCATGCAAACTTGGTGTGCCCAGTGAATGTGACAGAAATGCCTGGAGGGACTCTGCCTGATATTCAGAGCACTGAGAAGGCCATACACTTACTGAATGTCATGAAAACCACCAGGCAAAAGTTCTTCCTGGCTGTTGGTTACCACAAACCACACATCCCACTGAGGTACCCACAGGTGAGGAGACTGGAACCTGCAGGAAAGGGAACTTAGACAAATGTTGCTTTTGTTTTTAAAAGCTGTTCCCACAAATGCTTTATTGCTGTTTCCTGAAAGTTGGAAACCAGCCTTGATTTAGCAACTTCAGGAGTCACCTGTGATGTATTTCAGAACAGTTAATGGGAATGATTTGTGACTCCTCAGCCAAAAGCCAGGCTTCTGCCACCATGGTGGTGACTGCTGTTGCATGAGATGGGCTTCAGCTTGATGGAGTATGACATAATGAGGCCTTACAAGATCTTGTATTTCATTCTCTGTTTGACTTGGTGGCAAAACTACTGATTTCAAAGTGGTGTTGGATCTTTTATTGCAGTGTTGTTTTGAGATACAGGAAGCTGGGTTTAGGGATTTACTAACTCAGTATTTTTCAGGAATTGGTTGGGGAATGTCTAGTATTGCTGTGTTTCACACTGTGGCAGAAGGGGAGTGAAGCCTTGTAAACTGTAATGTAAAGGGTCCTGAAAGGGAAAGTGGTTGCTGTTTAAACACAAAATTCACAGTATATGTTGGAGGTGAGGACAGTCTTTCTATGTGTTTTGTCTTGTAAAGGAATTTCTCAAGTTGTACCCCTTGGAAAATATCACATTGGCCCCAGATCCCTGGGTGCCTAAGAAGCTGCCTTCTGTGGCATACAACCCCTGGATGGATATCAGGCAGAGGGATGATGTGGAAGCATTAAATGTTAGTTTCCCTTATGGACCACTTCCAGATGATTTCCAGGTAAGCTGCCAATACAGTGCTCTGAAGTCAAACTGCCTTCACTTGTTCAATGCAAGGGAGGAGTCAGCTGCTCTTGGATGCTCCCAGTTATTCAGCACCTGCCCATTTGCAGCTATGAATTCCCTGCCTTGCATACTGTCACCTCTAGCTCTGTAGGCAAACCCTCGCTGTCACTGCAGGTTGCATGGGAGGGAATGAATGTAGCAGCTACCAATGCTGTGTTTGTGTTCATTATCTGAGTCTGTTCACAGTGTATCTTCTTTTGGAAGATTTTCCTTTACTCTCCAGTGCTTATGCCAAAATCAGGTGCACTGGCTAGACCAAGAGATGCAGAATGGGTTGGTTTGCAGTGTTTTGGTTGAAAGCACCTCTGGGAGGTGGAATTTTCTAGCTGCCCCCTCCCAGTTTACCTTTTCTAGAACATTAATTGGGCTACAGTCAATTAAAATTAAAGCTTTAGAAGTAGAGTCCTTTAGTTCTTTTCCACAGCCACCCCCTGATCTGCTGTATGTGTCTGGGGAAGAACTTTTTTTTCCTCTCCTGTTTTCTTGACCTGCAGCGGCGGATCCGTCAGAGTTACTATGCAGCAGTTTCTTACCTGGATGTGCAAGTTGGCCTGCTTCTGAGTGCTTTGGATGATGCAGGGCTCTCAAATAACACTATAGTAGTTTTTACTGCTGATCATGGTAAGCATTTACATCTTTCTCGAGCTTACTGTTAAGAACTTCATTATGCTGCTCATTGCTGGCTTATTAATCCAGTGTGTGTTTCTGTAGTGCCAAGCAGAGCTGTCACACCTTGTCCCTCTGGCTTGTCTGAGCCAGATTGAGGGGACTGGCTCTGGCTTCTGTGGCTGCACAGTTCTGTCCCCACAGGCACTTTTAATCAGGTTGAGGATTTGCTGGTGAGGGATGAGGCTGCCTGCCAGGACACAGGGCTGAGCTTGCTGTGTTCCCACCCCCTACCCAAGGAGTGACTCTTGCTGGGAACTGTGCTCTAGGAGTACAGCCACCACTCCTCCCCCTTAGCATTTGTAGAAAGCCATCTGGTACAGTGGGTGACAGGCTTTCTCATTAACTGCTCAAGTGTGTTTTCTTTCACTTGTCATTGCTGCTTGCAGAGCATCTAAACTGATAGGGATATGGTTCCCTCTCATAACTGAGATCCTGCACACTCTGGAGCCTCATGGTAAAAAACTTAATTTGAGCTGTGGGACAAATGTCTCAAGCATTTAATGCTTGTTTCAATAGTCTAATATTCATTAAAATAACCCTATCATGATCCATTTGATTGTGGGATGGCTTAACTGATTTAAACCAGTTAGGAGGTGAATTAACTACATCAATTTAAAGTCACATGTATAGTTAAATTGGGTTGACTTCTGTGAGCATGTGTGTATAAAAAGCTCTTACAAGTTGTAGAGCAATGGGATTAATACTTTTGGTGCTAAAGTGACTCTAGATGTTCCTTCTGACTTGTTTGTAAACTGAATTTTTCTTTTCCTTGCTTTGGATAACTGTAAACAGTTGGTATTTCCAGTACCATGGCAGGCAAAGTGATCAAGAAAAAACATGTGTTAATATAGCTGTCACAGAGTTCCTTTGTCTTCCCCCAAAGTGAAGTTGGCAGTGTATCTGCCTGGAAGGAAGTCATGTTGGCATCTCTTTCAAGAGGAAGAGAAGAGCTGAAAAGTTTTGTCTCTATTGCTTCCTCAGGGGTCGCATCCTGATATGGCAGTCTGGCATAGAGAGCAGCCTTGGCTCCAAGGGATGTTCAGCTACAGTGTTAACAGGAGCATTGGAGAGCTGGCAGCTGCCCAAAACTTAAATGAATACTTTGTGGAATTGATCTGGAGACTCTTGCAGGCACTGTGACACACCCCAATTCCTCTTTTCTGCTGTTTTAATGCTGATTTCCTATTTCTAATCTTGAGAATCTAGAAATAAGGAAAGGTGTAATTGTTTCTTTTATGAAAGAGTATCAAGTTGCAAGATTTAGGTGGCTGTTGAAATAGTTTTCATATTAGAGAAAAGCCTTGTTATATCTAAATACAGATTATTTACCTTTTAATATGACCTTTATAACATACTAGTGGCCTCAGCAGTCAGAGTCAATATACAATGAAGCAGAAATCACTACTAGATTAAAAACCAATGTGTTCTTTGAATTGTGTTCTTTGTCACCAGGGTGGTCCCTGGGAGAACATGGTGAATGGGCAAAGTACAGCAATTTTGATGTTGCTACTCGAGTGCCACTGATGTTTTATGTCCCAGGAATGACAACTTCCCCTGCCAGTCAGGGAGCAAGAGTGTTCCCCTACCTCGACCCTTTTAGCCATATTGGAGGCTCATCACCTCAAGGTAAATTTCCAGTGCTTATTTTTTTTTGCAATGGTTATGTGTCTCCAGGCACCTTGAGGATTTACTTTGTCATTCTGAAGAGCACTTTTTCAAACTAATGGATATGATTATCTCTAAGGCTAATGGAGAGACATAAATGCACAAGTTTTCTTGTTAAAAGTACATCATAAGTGCATGGACTGGCATCTTCACAGCTAACTGCCACTCCTTAATTGCCTTGATTTTGGTACCCCCAGAAATCCTGTGCAGAGCACTTTGAATAAAATACCAGCTGAATTATTAGAAAATCATAAAACTTTGAATAAAATACCAGCTGAATTATTAGAAAAGGTTGTTGTCCAACTACCCTGTTCCATAACTTATATTTTGGTATTATTTCTTCTAGGGCAAAGTAAAACAGTGGTGGAGCTGGTGTCTCTGTTTCCAACACTTGCAGAGCTTGCTGGCCTGCAGGTCCCTCCTGCATGCCCAAAGATGTCATTTGGTGTTGTGCTGTGCACTGAGGGGAGAAGCATTGCCCACTATTTGAACCTCTCTGAAGGAGAGGTGGAGCAAGGCAAGGAAGGGAGTGATGACACTGAGAGGTGTTCCAATGAAGAGCCTGTTGCTCTCAGCCAGTACCCCCGGCCTGCAGACACTCCCCAGTGGAACTCTGACAAGCCAAGGCTGAAGGACATCAGGATCATGGGCTATTCCATGCGTGCCATTGACTACAGGTACACTCTGTGGGTTCAGTTTGACCCCAGCAACTTCAGTGCTGACTTCAGGAATGTCCATGCAGGAGAGTTGTACCTGATGGACAATGACCCAAACCAGGATTATAATGTCTATAACAATACTTCACAAGGTTGGTTTTTCAAAAAAATTACTGACTTGCTAAAGCACTAGGGTTCAAAAACTTCTTTGTGCCTGTTCTTGCAACTGAATTAATGCTTCCTTCTTTTGTATAGAATCTTTCTGTTGTACAGAAAACATTTGGATTGAATAAAAATCCTGCTTGTATCAAAACAAGCTATTGCCTTTGTCTTGTTGCAGCCCTTACTGCACTGAAGGAGTTAGAGGGGACTTCTGTAGCTGTTTTCAAACACAAGCTTGTAACACTTCTGAAAAGGCCACACAGAGCATCAGGCCCATACTGTGAAACATCTCAGTGGTCTTCTGTAGCAAGTGAAGAATTAAATTTCATTATCTGTGCTGAAGCTGTTGGTGTGAAAGGAGGAAAACCAGAATCTCACATGTTTGAGTGGCTGTATGGAGAATGTGAGTCATGACACAAGTCCTGTCCCCTTTACCCAGGAGACTTGGGGCTGAAGTGGTCGAGCAGACAGTTGGTAGTGGGAAGGGCTGAGGTATCTGCCCTCATTAGCCTTACCTCTTACTATTGCCCAAAGAGCAATTAAATCCAAAATTTAATTCTTTTAAATAAAAGCTTCAATTTGGAATTCATGCTTCTTATGATACAGTAGGAGAATCTGAATTTTTAATTAGTTAATGTGTGTGAAAGAGTGCTTTCATCACCAAAACACTAAATAATACTGGGGGGTTAAGGTAACACCAACATGCTCTTCTGTGGATTTTCCTGAGGACTGGTCTAATGAGTTTCCACAGGTGAGAGGAGATGGAAACCTTCAGCTTTTGGAGCTGGCTCATTGCAGAACTGCTCAGTGCACTTGAGGTTGTCACATCCAGTGACAGACCTGGATGTTTGCCTTCCTAGGTGCTAATGGGCTTGGCATTCTCTGTTTTGGACTAGGAGAACTAAAAGCCTCCCATTTAAATTTTTAGTGTGGCATTTAACAACACAGGATGCAGAGCATTAGTTGTCCTGAGCTATGCTGTAGATAATGTCCAGATGGCCAAATGCATTAAGGTAAATATGTTTGGGAGCTTGTATCTGAGAAAAACGGTTTTGCTGAGTATTTTATGTAAGTGCTGTCTGTACTTTGTGCTCACAGTCACAAGGTACATGGTGCTTCAGTGTGAGGGCAGTAATTTGTGTTGTTTTCTATCAACCTGCTGGATTTCTGCAGTTCTGCCTTGGTAATCGAGAGTCTTAGAATTTGTACCATAAAAAATAAGAGCTTGTTCAGATGGTGTTAACTCCTGCTACCTTCCCTAATGAACTGCTCCAATTCCTACAAAAAGCCAGCCATTACTTGTCTTCCTCAGATAAATTGACTTTAATATCCTGGAAAAGGCATAGATATAACTTTATTTCATTAAAATCCATGAGACAGTCTTATTCCTAATTAATGTAGGGATACCCACCATGCATCTGATTCTCTGTTAGAAGACAGTGGTTATTTAGTGCCTTAAACTCAATTACAAGAATGTATTTCTTATGAACTCATAATTTGTTTTACTCAGCCTGAGATCCTGTGTGTTCTGCAGCATTATTATTCCAGGTAAAAATGTATTTTTCCCTCATTTATGGATATATACTTAGATCCTCAGCTGGTGTGAAGCACTTCAGTTGCATGTAGCAGATTCAATGTAGCTATACCAATTTCACACTGCTGAAGGTGTGTTTTACTGAGAGCAGTGCCAGGCACAGATTTGGAGTCTGCAGCTAGAGCTAATTATATCTCTGACACACTTTCCTTCAAAGGAAAATCAAATATTGGGGAAGTTATTTTGGGGAATGTATTGAAGCGTTAAGGATTAATCTAAATCTCTGGTATGCTGGGTCAGTAATACAATGTGCATTTAAAATTGTTCTGGCAAATGGGTATTATCTGAGACTTGGCTACGTGAGCTTTGTGTTTTGTTCTCCTACTAAGACATCTGCAAAAAAAAAAAAAATTTTGGGGGATGTAAAATTATAGTGTGTAGATAAATTATTTAGGATTTTATTTGCATGGAAACATTTCTGTGCATACTCTGCCCTAAGCCTTCCATCACTTCAGGCAATTTAATTTTTCAAGTGGAGATAAAAGTCCTGGTGCTAGGTGATGAGTATTTTTTTCCTCAAGTCATTCTCTTTATATTGAAAGGGAAAAGCTGCCCTTGACCTTTCTTAATCAAAATCCAGTAATCTTTTGGGGAGACATGAAACAGAATTGTCTCTGACAGCCAGTGAATCAAGATGTATCTGCACACTCAGGGCAAGGACGTTCCTGAGGAATTGCAGAAGTCCCTGAGCAGGGTTCTACAGTGCACCTGCAGAGCTGGGCCCTCCTGCCTGCTGCTGAGGTGGGGCAGGGTGTTTCTGGGGAGGAAAGAGGCACAGCAGTACAAATCCTCTGCCCTGGTAAGTGCCATGCTAGTTTTGTTATGGAACTGGGTGAGCAAGGGGAAAATGCAGCAGTGGCAAACAGAGAATGACCATTTTTCCAAGCAAACCAAAACACTGCAGCTGCTGGACAACCCGAGCTGTGGGTCTTGCTGGGCTGAGCAACCTCCACTGAAGAACAAAAGAGCTTAACAGGAGCAATAAAAGTAAAGTGCTCTTGTGAGCAGCGCTGTCTCTAGAGGGAAGAGGTTGCAAGCCAAGCATCAGGAAATAAATGAGATGCCAGTGTTGACCCTGTTTCTCAGGATGGCACCAGAACAGCTGGAAGAACAGCAGGATGCTGCCTCAGCAGGAATTGTTACCTGTGGTACATGGATGGAGAGCCTCCACTGGGGACTGCAGAGTAGCCTCTGTAAGCACTTGGCACAAAGCAGAGTCAATAAACACAGCTCTGTTAATAAGCTAATGTACAGCAGTGATTAAGCAATGGAATTAAGATTTTAGTCCCTAAACAGCTGTACATCAGTCAGTCATAACTCATGATGTTTTTTTCAAGTGTATAGATGCACAGAACCCCAAAATCAAACTTTTTGAAGGAAAGTGAAAGAAACACTATGTACAAAGCAGAAGCAATGGGAATCTAAAAAGAGATGGAGGTGGCTGTGTCTGGGTATTCTTTGTAGCACTACAGGAATGTTTATGGCATGCTGTTTGCAAAGCAAAGATTTGGGTCTAATTTCAGGCATGCTGTGCACACTGGAGTAGATGGAAATGCTGTAGCTCCACACTGTGCTGTGCAACAGATTGGAATCCCCCCTTTGGCCTTGCTTGCTGGGGGAAATGGGGTAACATTTTGGACTAATGTGAGAGTTGCAAGTGTGTTTGTGTGCTGAGGCAGGCAAAGGCAGCTGAGAGTCCTAGCTATTGGTCAGATGTTACCTAATTAATCACCATTGCATGTTAATTATGTATTAGTGACTTGCTGCTGTGTTGCCTTGGTCAAGTGGAGTCCCCTGCTGGAACGAGTGTTCCACAGCATGAAGGATGGGATGTGGGTGTGATGGTTCACTATCAGGGATGTTTCTGAATTCCTGGTGCTAATGTGCATTTTCTGTGATAGGCAGCAATATCACCAGTGGCAAAAGGACCATAATGTCATGGCTGGCACCCAGACTTGCAGGGCACTGTGCACAGCTCAGGTTTCATATACTTGGGAAGTGCCTGGTAGGTGCAGCTGAGTTCCTTTGTTGGATGTATAATTCTTTCTTTTTTTTTTTCCCTCCAGTGGTTACTTAGCATTCAAATGTGAAACGCTACATAAAGAATGAAATTGCCCTCCTGGTAACTAGGTTTTCCAGCACTTTACAGTTTTCTAGGCTATAGAACTTCTTGCTTTACACATCAGAAACTCCCAACCAAGTTGACTCTGTGTCAAAACTTTTTATGTCTCTGTGTTTGACTTCCTAGCTAATGAAAATTATCTTCAGATCTGCATGGGTGGATCTTGACTCCAATATTCTTCTCTGCCTAAATGTACAGGTCTCCTTTTAAAGTCTGTGGGAGCTCTGCTTATGAAAGAAGATAGACTACCAATGTCAAGATCTACCATATGTAGCAGCAAAAAGAGCTTTTTGCCCTCTATCTGTAAAACTTGTCTCAGTGCTCAGTAGCAGAAGAACATTTCTATGCAGCAGTGTGTGAAGGCACCAGCTATAATGGAGCTTTGACTAAGCAGGAGGAAATGGCAAAGTCTGAGATGTTTCTGTAGGTGCAGTTGGACAGAGAGCAGGATAATAGAGAAGTAGGAGAGAAAGGAACAGTAAGATGCAATGAACAGTGAAATCAGATGTAAGTGATGACCTGGAAGATTAGGATCAAGCAAGAAAACAGAACAGAAATCTAAAGAGAACAAGATTGGGAGGGGAAATATTTATAACTCTGGTTTTAGTTTCTGCAGACACTTAAGGGAACTCAGATCTTCCTCTTTCTTCTCTAATTCTCTCCTGTGTTTTAAGTTTAAAATCTATGAGCTTTGTAAACCTGTTTGCACAAGTTCTTTGAATTTATCTCTGAAGCACTTTTGAAAACCTGCTTTAGTATCTTGTGACTTTTGTCCCAATGTCAAATCTGGCATTATCCATGCATTCAAAACACTTGCCCTTTTCTTTTGCTCCCAATGCCACAGTAGAATTGAAGTCTATAATTTCTAGTATGCTATTTGTGCTGGAGATTCCCCGTGTGCTGTGAGACTGAGGAGCAGTTACCTTAGGTTACAAACCCACCCTGGTTTGTGCTCCATGGCCACCCTGCACTGGATGTCTGGCAGGCCTTGGGGTTGGACTCTGCTGAGGCTGCTGGGTATGGTGGGGACAAATGGCATCAGTGGTCATGCTGCAGTGTTGGGCTGCAAGTGTGGCTGCACATCTCACCAACGAAGTCTTGCTTGTACACCTTCTGCAGACCTTATAAGAACTGCCTGAATATTATCTGACTGCAGCCTTTTTCTTTTTTTTGTCAGAGAAGTGTTGATTTGATTAAGTCAAACTGTCTTATGTAGAGATATTGCTTTGGTGACAGCTATATTGAAAAGTTTTGCTTTGATAAAATCAAAGACCTTTGCTTCAATTTTATTTCAATTTTTATTATATTGCATAATTTTGACATAATTTAAAAGGGTATTATAACAAATGAGAATGTAATTACTTTGTAAGAATAATAAAGTCAAAACAAACAATTTTGATCTCTGAAGGAGAGTGTTCATCTGCATCAAAATGAAGCC